AACGTACCCCCCATTATTTGTGTTGCTCCTGATCAACTTCGTAATAGTTTCGTGATTATAGGTTTTGTGGCTAACACTTTAAACTGTGGCGTAAGATAAAATAATTCACACGAGATTACCGAATCTAAATCGAGAGTGACGTCGGTATGTTTTTACCTTATGCTTTAGGCTTACAGATCAAGCGATTCCGAACTAATGAGTCCGGACTTTACTGATGTACCGCCTTTTCGAGCTCAAGATCACCGCAGAGTCTGTTTCTCCCAGGTAGGGCCTTCGCCTTTTTGTATCCAAAAGTGTCTAATGTTTTAGGTAAAACTTAATAGTACTTCTCGAACTGTGGTAGCTAAACAGCGTATCAATGAATCGATTGTAATCCTGTCACTTCCAAACAACGATCAAAAGAAATATTAAATTTTGTAGAAAAACAATCTGACGTTCCATTCCACAGTTTGTTCTTCCAGTCACCGAACATGCTCGTTCTTTCAGCCGTGGGGGCGTTAAAGTGTTACGGTCAATCCCACTACTCGTTGGTAAAAGAGTAGTCTAAGAGTTGGCGGTGGGTGGTGTCGACTAGCTGCCTTCCCTCTAGTCTATTACTGCTAAATTAAGGGCGGCAAAATTCAAAACAAATCACAATTTTTATGAGTTTTATCGATTTTTCGTGATAATTAAATATAATCATGCTTTCTGACAAAGAGTCGTTTTATTGACAAAACTTAAGGTTCTGATGATAGATGACATTTTAATTTTTACGCCTAACCGTTATGTTTCAACACTGTCATCTATAACTGGAGCTGATGTACTTTATGTTCTACAGATCATTTAACTCTATGTAATTAAGGGATTACCGGCAGTACCTTTGTTTTAACTAATTTTGTACTAATATATTTTACATGAAATTACTACAGGGGTTATTTGACATAAATCATATGTTCGGCAAGCAGTGATAACTGTTTACTTTTGTTTGTTGCCCTGTTGATGAACTGAAACAGAAAGAAAAATGTTGCCTCTGTACACGTGTTATAATAAGTACGTGTTAATTTACTTAGAAAATATTGGGGTTCGATTGCCGTTAAGAAAACAGCGCAGGTGGCTCATTGTATAGCTTTACACTAAAAACGTATAGCAAGCCTAAATAATAAGAAAATACGATCTGCAATTTAAATACTTTGTAAGGTTTTACCTTAACAAACTACTAGACATTACTCACATATAAGTTGTGACGTTTAACCCCGCGTTAGTCTTCTGTAAAAATGTTCCATAGTCACTGTTCCGGGGTCCCTGCGGACCCCATCATAAAAAAAAAAATGATTTAAATTTTCTTAAATAATAATAAACTATTATTTTGGAAACAAAAAACACTAACACTCGAAATCTTTTCCTTTGTTAATTAATAAGTGATCATTAAATATTACAACTTATTTATATTTTACCATCTAAACAAAGTGTAACAATTTAACACAAACTAGAGGAATACCGAAGCTACTGAGAACAAAAAACATGTACGTGCTTCCATCTATCGGCGTCAATATTTACAAAACATTTGGGGTCCGTAAATACATTGGAAGACTAACACAGGATTAAAAAGTTCATCGGCAAAAAAAGATCTTGTTTAATCTTTAACTGAATTACGTATTTTGTTGAGAAAACATTTCGTATGAATCATTTATCTACATGTATAAATTGATGAGAAGTACATCTGCTACATCCTGCGTTAAGTAAATATATATCACTCGTAATTGAGTACTTAAAACTGTTTTTCAAATAAATCCTGTTGTGTTTATTTTAGAGCAAAGCCACATCTTCTGTGTCCACCGAGGGCAAATGAAATCCGAATTTTAGCGTTTTAAGTTCTTAAACTTATCGCTGCTCCATTATGAGACTCCTCTCGTGTAACTTTACCTTTAATCTCTACTTGGCTAAAATGGTAATCATTAAAGATAGATAAATAACAACACTTAACAGTTTGACAAGAAGCAATAAGTGAATCTTTTTTATCTGTTTGTTTACCGCTCTTAGACACCATACACAGTAAGTAATTGGTAAGTAATTTCCTTCAGTTTTTATGTCTAATTTTTATTTTGTTACAGACGTCTATGTTCGGCAAGAAGTCATATATGTTACTGTTCCACGTGTTAGGTAACAAATACATCCCATGCCTCTTTTTCTATCATATGATGAACAGTGAACAGACACTGACTGCAGCACCTATTACAATGATTTACACACATACTTTGTTTTCCCAATAATGAGGCTTGACGTGACCTAGCGGTTGACGTGCTTAGGCATTGAATCCAAGGGCCCATGGTTCACGGCCCTTTGATGAAAAACGCACTACGCACTCTGGGGCCTTGAGTAGTTATAAGAGTGATGGTCATATCCCACTATTCGGTTAGACAAGAGTAGCCCAAGAGTTGACGATGGTTGCAGCTGAGTAGCAGCCTTCTCTAACCTACCAGTTCAAGAGTAGGATGGCTAAGCGCAAATAGCCCTTTGCGTAGCATTGCGCGGAAACGCTTAAAATATGAATTCGTTTATAATCATTATTTGATTTTTTTTCTAGAATAGAGGTTGAACTAGAAGACGGGCCACACCTGTCTTTTAAAGTCGATGGAACCCATGTTTTTGTCAACAGTGTAAGTACTTCATCGTTCTTTGTACGAATGATTTATAATATCTTCTGACTCCATGTTTTAACAGTAGTTTTGTTGAGAATCAGGTATACTACTTATATTTCATGTAATAATATAAGGAAGGGATTCCTGGTTGCCGGCCTGACTGAATTTAATGACAACAGAGTTTATGATTGACGATCTAAATGCTCGATAGAACGAGTTATCCACCATCTTGTTCGTCTGTCTTTTATATATATATATATATAATTTAAATATAGATATATAAATTAAACTTATTTATTTCAATTTTACGTTTCATATGCTTGTAGTATTATACGTAGGTTGTAATATTTTATCAGATGGAAGAAAGCAACCGAGTCAGTATTCGATTAAGGAACACTTTACGTGTGTCCCTACCTATATCTCTGGACATTCCCAAGCCTTTAAAAGTAGCACAACCAAACGTTCCAGACGACGAAATAACGCGGCTTCAGTTCAAAATTGATGCAGATGAATCTATGTATGTAAGTACTGCGCAATACGAAATACTTTAATTTTCACAACGCATCTCAATGATACTTTTAAAGCAGTGGTTTTTAACCTTTTTTGCTCCATGCCCCACCTCGACACCTCAAAAATTAGATGCCCCTTAATAAAAAACAAATTTGGTGTTGAAAAATTATAATAATATTATTCTTAGAAATGTACCAAAAAATAGTAGTTTATTTTTTCTTATTGTGGTATTTTCAAATTGCCCCCAATATATATTCAAATTATCCCCCCCCCCCTGTGGGGCGTGCGCCCCACGTTCAGAAACACTGTTTTAAAGCATCTTATTCATATCTTAACGGAAGATTAAAAGTTTAAAAGAATAATTAGAACTCTTTCACTGCCATGGACACGTACGTAGATCTCCCAGTCCAGAGGGAGCTGCCATGAGCAATTGGAGTTTTGTATCACCATGAAGAGAGGGATATACCCAATGGCGTAACTACAAAAGATGACCCCTCCCGCATAGAACGTGATTGAGTTCCCTACATTTATATCCCTATAATAGTAGTTACGATTCTGACCCCCCTCCCACCCCGCAATTGCGTGGGCATACTTATGCCACTGGGTATACTTTCCCCTTCCTCAAATTTGTTTACCACTTTCAGAGAGGTAATGCAATATCAAAACATGTTTTCTTTATTGTGTACTAGCTGGAGTACCCTTCCATTGGACGGGCGAAATAAAAACTTTTTGTAACAATGGATAGTAAATTTTGTTATTGTGTACTAGCTGGAGTACCCTTCCATTGGACGGGTGAAATAAAAACTCGTTTGTAACAATGGATAGTAAATTTTGTTATTGTGTACTAGCTGGAGTACCCTTCCATTGGACGGGTGAAATAAAAACTCGTTTGTAACAAAGGATAGTAAATTTTGTTATTGTGTACTAGCTGGAGTACCCTTCCGTTGGACGGGTGAAATAAAAACTCGTTTGTAACAAAGGATAGTAAATTTTGTTATTGTGTACTAGCTG